ACAATCCACTGGACTTGGTTTCCAAGGTTTGAAGACGTTTCGCTTCCCCCCCAGGAAGCTTTCCTTAAAACCTGTCTATGATTTCTATGGTTTGTCTATGGTTTCAGATAATACAGGCTAACAATGGAACCAAACAACCCGCTCGCCGGTTCAATTTGCATGCTTCCAAGCAATACAAGGCCTTGTCTATATAAAGCCTCAAACTCACTGCGGATCCAGACATTTGAATTGAGAAAGCTTCCTGGAGGGGAAGCGAAACGTCTTCAAACCTTGGAAACCAAGTCCAGTGGATTGTTTTTAAACTTTTAAAGAATGACTATGACCTGGATGACTGAGAATCTTCATCAGCCTAAGTGAAGGATCTATTCTATACAACACAGACTCTTTATAGAGAGCAGACCATCATTAATTTGGGTTTTAAAACAGATTCTTATCTAAACTCCATAGTGGAATCAGTGCATTGTTGAAATCCATCTTTTATCAGCTTTACATCAAAGATAAAACATAATCTGTCGAGATATGACTTAAGTTCTTCTAAACCAATATTTAAGTCTTAATTACAAATGTATTACTGTAACTATCTGCACCACACAGGTCTTAGGTGTGATACAGTGGAGAGAGTACCATACCTTAGTTTCACCCTCACTGCACTCTGTCAGTTCATCCTAAAGGTCATTATAGTATGAAATCCATTCGTTTTTAAAGCTTTAAATCATCTTGCTTCTCTCCGACTTGCCTCGCTGCTTCGTCTTTTCTCACTTTCTATCCCCATGTGGGCAGTCATTGCTGAAACAGCCATGGACACCTCAGAGGCTCTAAAGAGGATTGGAATTTCTGCCGTTTTAACTTCTCAATTAGTCGATTCATTCCCCGTGAAAATTAGAAAAAGAAATTGGAGGCAATTCTGAAACTTTCTTTAAGATCAGCTCTTTGACATGGCTTTGTGGTTGCCATATTAATGGGGATCATTTAATTTGAGTTCCGTGATGTGCATTCTTAACAGCAACTTTTGCAAAAGATTACATTACATCAAAATCACCCAGAGATAATGAGATGTCACCTTTAATTTCTGTATATTTTCAGCCCCTTTTTGGAATGAACAGCTTTAGGTGGAAATGCACCGATTCAGTTTTTCTGGATCCAATCATAGACCAATAACTAGGCTGAGCAACTATAGCAAACATAGAATTGGATTGACTGGACTGCTGTACCTGTATGGCTGTGTATGATATCAGAAGAAAAAGAAATGACGGGACTGGGATGCTGGATGGGTGTCATTCATCCAACATTCAATCCAGCTAACTAGTCAATATTGAAGCTGATTTCTGATTTGCATATAGGGTTAGCTTTGGCTTTAGGGCTCTGTTTCTTTTAAGCAAATAAAAAGCCATGTTCCACAAACTCAATGTGTACAAATACACAAGCATACTTTGGTACAATTGTACACCTTTAATCCTGAGTCAGACCCAGAAAGCTTAAGTAGTGGAGGCTCCTGCACAACTAAAGGCCAATTTATGCTTCTGAGGCATAGCCTCTGCAACTGTCAAATCTGTCTCTGTGCGTGACCATTCACCCTGCGCAGAGGCTCTGCAACCATCGTTGCGCACCTCAAAAAAATCCTGACGACGCATCGGACGGTCGCAAACCCGTGCAGACTTCAAGCGGAAGTGCGCAGACAAAAAGCAGCTGTGATTGGTCCTTGGTATGCCTCCCCGGCTGTCTGTGTGGTCGTCCTTCTCGATTCGGTGCTATCCGCCGAAGTTCTCGCGAGTTCTCGAATAGGTTCCTCCTTGCGCTTTGGCGGGAAACTGCTGTGCGTCCCTAGAAATTCCAGACTGACGTTGCAGAAGCATACCAGCAAAACTGGTTCGCGAACAGACGCAAGCGACATTTGATGTGTGCGGTTGCAGAAGTAGAATCCGCCCATAAAGAAGGGTGCTGCAGGGTTTTTGTGAATGGTAGGCAAGCTATCCCTAAAGGGCTATAATATTAAAAGCCATGTTAGTGTTGTGTTATCCTTTTCTGATATAAGTTCTCAATTACCCAAAACATCTGTCCCGGAGTTTTAGGTTTTGATGAAATGTTGGTTTGTATAAGATTATTTAAGGAGGCATTTTGGTTCTATTTCATTAAGAGAATCTGAGAGGAAATAAGATGCTAATAGCGCTAGCATCAATATGGGATGTTTAACACAATTTAGCATCATGCCAACCATCCAACAGTTTTCTCTCTTTTCAGTTGTATTTCAGTATAAATGAATTGTCTGCACATTTTTGTTGAATTGTGTATGTGATGTTTTCAGAGTAATTGGTGATACCAAAGTGCTCTGGCGAATAAGCGGCACAGATGGATGGTAGTTCCTCCGTGTTTTAACTCTTACCTGAAGCATTGTTGTTTGTAAACTACTTTAGGAATAATGCTGATTTGGTACCGGAGATTCTGTTCAGCATTCATGAATAGTGCATGGCACCAATAGGGGAAAAACAAGCTGGTGTTAAAGAGATGAAACAGCGTGCCTGTGGTCACTCGGGTAGAGTAGACCTTTAAAAGGCTCACCTTTAATATCTCCACTCATTCAGCCGTCAACAAGCAGCAGGATTAGACAACACAGATTCAGCCAAAACATGAGGAAACAAGTGTCTCCTTCCTGCTGCGATTCCACTGAATAGATACAGCTACTGACTTAAAGCAAAACTGCTGGATTCACAGAAGACATTAGGTAAAAAAAACAATTCCTCTGCAAGACATCAACAACAGACAACCCCCCCAAACAAACAGAGACAGCCATGTGTTGCACCATACTTCAGACTCAGCGATTAATAGAACACCTATCTATGAAGGCACACAACATAAACACTCTGGGAGTAATGCAACTGAGCAGGTATGAGAAAGCAACTGTTATGGGCATAATGCAGAACTATAGCAGCATAGATTTCTGAGTTCAAGCGCCAGGCCAGCTGTTTAGTATGAGTCAGTTCATGAAGGTTAAATAATCCTTGTGCACTGTATGAGGAGAGCTGGGTTTCATGTGCATTTAAATTTATATATTCTCAGTCTTAAATGTGCAAATTTATGAAATGAAGCCCAAGATGATTCAAGCCAGAGAGCTGGATTACTTGAATACATTTAATCACAACACTGTGGATTTTAGAGGCAATTTAAACAGGTAGTTGGGAGCTCATATGCAACTCAAATCCCCTTTGTAAAATGGTTTGGTGGTCTTTTTTTGTTTTTGATAATCTCTTTAAAAGAGATAAGGGATTTCTGTTCCTTATTTTAAAATGTAAAATCAATGACAAAAAGCTCAGTCATGTCTGTTGGTTCGTGTGTGAATATATATATTTACCAATCCTGTCACAGGAAATATACGCATCTAAAACTCTGAACCATTTGGAGTAAACAAAGTTAGAAAAACTCCTGGAGTTTCTGGAGTTTTTTACTGGAGACAGACCCAGATAAAAATACACACATTTAGGACATGATGATCTAAATATCCAACTTTAACTGTGAAATTTCTGTATGGATGGTTTAATGTATTAGACTGGGGTCTAAACTGAGTTGATTTTGTTTTTTTAAAGTGGAGATCACCTAATGCTGTTCTGTAATCTGGGATTTTGTCCCACAGCTAACCTTGAAGGGACATGTTCTAATTATCAGATTAATCTGTGTTTTGTTCCTAAATAAAAGCAATTTTAGCTTTGAGAATTACGTTTACAGTAAAATGCAGGTTTTACTGGTTGTGCAGCTCTGCTCTGTCCTCACATATAAACCACTGTGTAGCAGAGAACTGTTAGAAAGCAGCTCAAACTACTGTCAGTACATTCTAGGTCATTATATGAAATGTCTATAAAGCACAAAAACAACTTTTTACTTCATTTTTCTGACTAAAACATTCAACAAACCAAAAAAATCATGGCAGCATTGAACATTGGATGGCATTTTAGCTAATTGCTCTACGTAAAGACATAAGCACGATCAAGATCTCGGTTTGTGTTATATTTAATGAATAAGAATATTACTGAAAAGTTTACCTATTTCAGTAACTCCATTTAATTGGTGAAACATAAAGATCAATTCCACACAAACCAACAAGTTAATAGGATTGTATTTTTTGTCGATTAAGATGATTTCCTGCTTTTATCTAAACTAAAACATGACATTTAGAATTGGAACATTCAATCAGAGGAACAGAAAAACATTTTAAAATAAAAAATGAGAGTACCTGCGGTAAAGGTTTCTTCAGTTACTTTTGATTAATTGCATGTGACTGATTTCCTTGCAAAGGCGCTGAGATTTAATCAGCCTTGTGTGCTGAGATCTTACTTGACAGCATAAAGTCAGGATTAATAATGAGGTGCAAGGAAAGAAAATCCAGGGCTTGAATCCATTTTTGACTAATAAAAAGAAATTTGATGTACATCTGTACATACTGGAAACTACAGATGCCTTATTGGGACATTCCTAATATTTTGTTTAAAGGAAATTTGCTATCATAACTTCTGCCTTTGATTTAGGAAAATGTGGATCAGTTCTACCATAAAAATAAGTTTTACTGTTGTAAGCTTTCTCTAAAAACAGAAAATAGTAATTTTGCTCAGATTTTTCTCTTGTTCATTAGTTGTACCTCTGCTGCAGTCTGTGTTGTCCAATCTGCATAACAAGAGGTGACAAATAACAGATACTCCTCTACTCCTTCATCCTTTATTCATGACTTCCTGGAGATCAAAGATGATCTTTATTTCCAGTGTTGGGCCAAGTGTCTGATCTCTGCTGTAACAAGTATGACTAGAAACCCAGAGAGGGTGGTTGATTGTGAAACAGGAGGAGGAGGAGGGGGGGTTAAGGAGCACAAATAGTGCAAAGGCTAAAAGCCAGCCTCTCCACAAAACAATAAAGGTGGACATGGGGCGTACAAAGCTCAGCTAGTCAAACAAGTAGAGGAAGGAGAGATTGGGTTAGCTATTGGATTAGTTTCAAAGCGACAGATTAGAAATACATACCGCCCAGATGCAAGTCCAGGATTTCACTGTAATTAGAATCTCCCCAATAGTCTACAATGACAGGGTAGATTAGAGATAGGAGTTATTTTACACGGCCCCAAACTGGGCATCCAAACACAAACACAGAGCAAAATCTTCAACAACAGCATGTCATGCAAACACAGACACGCTGTAGCAGCACTCAGAACAAAGAGAGTTCGGCCGTACTCACCACTGGTGTCTGCTGGAGGGTAGGAAGTTTGTGCAAAACTAATGCAAAGCTGAATTTCCCAAATATAAACATACTGTGGTGTAGATTCGCTGTATTGCCCTTTAAGGGGTCAGCTTTTGTTTTGTTTTATAGCCCAAAGCACTGAAGCCAATGTTGTTTATACTACTTTGAGTTCATTTTTATGAGCCAAGGTTAGTTTGGAGTCAAACTCACTGTAATTTATTAACAAACCAGTTTGTGTGTAGAAGACAAACAAATGCGAACAAGCTTCAGGAGGCTGTGAGTCGCTGAATAAAAAGAACAAGTCCAAACAGATCACAACATCACTTCACTTAATCATGTCTGATTTTTGCAGAAACTCTTCCAAACAGAAGATTCCGTCCAACTCCTAACATTCTAATTGCAGTTTAAAGAGTGAAGTGTGATCAGAGTACAGAAACTCTCCTCATTGAGAGGCAGCGGGAGACACTAAACAGAACAAGCACAGACAAATCGATGTCAGGACACACATTCTCCTGATCGCATGCAGCCCTGAACGTTGACGATGGCAGACATGTGATGAGCAAACAGAGGTCAACATATTTGAAGATGGAGAACTGATGCTGTGTGTCACCACAGATGGAGTCCACATGACAGTGTACAGAGAGGCAACCCGAGTAAATCTAATACCTGATCTTCTTTTGTGCTGTTTGGGTAATGTATAAGTACCTTTATGCAAGCCTTTAAGAGAGTAGAGCAGTACACAAGTTAAAACACAATGATTATATTATTACAGTATTGATTATATGAATACTGGATGGCTGAAAAATGCAAAGGCTTCAATTGTTATTTCAGCAGTAACCTCTTAATTTAGCATAAAAAAAAAATTCGGAACATAAAATGGAATCGTAATCAATTACTATTCATGATTAAAGGGCAAATATCATATCTAATACTGGTAACACCTAAAAAAGTTAAAAATATAATACTACTAAACTAGAAAACATTCTAGGAAAACATATCTTCCCATTAGCACTATTTTTCTATAGATTTGCTAACCGTAGTTTTTTTCATGACAATAACGAGGACTGACGGGCTAAACATAGATCTTTGATGACGAAAAATCACATGGGTATGAGTTTTTGTTGACTAGACGAGACTAAATAAAAATGTATGGGAAGGTCAGTCAGACATTTAAAATGCATTATTGTGCTGTAATCTGCTAAGTGGTATCAGCTGTGCTGCAGTGTCCTGTTTGGTCATGCAGCCCACCAAGCTGCAGCGGTGCACATTCTGCATGACCACAGATCATGGCAGCAGCCGCAGGGGAGAAAATAACCTGGAACGGTCCGGTACTGCGCGATCAAATCTGACAAACTCTGAAAATCTTCCAGCTGTGCTTGTGTAGAAATATGTCTTTGCACGCGTCTGCGCTTCACGCTCCACACTGATGGTTCGTTCTCAGCAATATGGCTCTTCCTGCTCTCGCTACTTAATAAACTATAGGTGGCTGATCATCCTGTGGCAAGTGTAAAAAGTCCCTTTGTCTAACTATCAAGTTTTTTTTTCTTCCATCTCACAAGAGGTGAGGTCCCTAAATTATATCCAAAGAAAATATTTAATTGAATATGGTTTATTTTTGGATAAAGACCCAGGTGAAAAGGTGCATAGATCTTTGAATATTTCTCTCTCATAGTTTTTGTTTCTATATATTTGAATATTTAAAAATTTTAGTTAACATATTGAAATTTAAGTCTGGAAGGCAATTATGTAGGTTCTCTCTTTATATATGTATCTATTTTTTAATATGGCCCCTATGAATTATATCTACTTTGACCCCTGAGTAGTGGTAACCAAGGTGCAAAATGAAGAAATAAAGCCAAAATTGCCAAAGTAGAAAGAAGAGCATTTTGGCTCTTTGCATTTTTGGAGTAATGAAAACTTTCTTGATCTGTGTTGTAATGCATAATTCAGAGTCGATCAGGAAGTGTTTGCTTTACGATGGAAACTTTATATGTCTAAAACCATTCCTTTATTGTTAATTTTGTTAGCTTGTCTCTCTGCTATTTTAACCAATATAATGCATTGAGCTAGACCTGTTATTTTCACAACTTTTTTGAGACACTGCTTTTTATAAAGTAGGTCCTTAATTCATAAAAAAGGTTTCATGAAATCATATATAAATCAAATTTTTCTGCCCAGCAGCAATGATGAACTGCGCGGCAGCATTTTATACGCAACAATTGTAGTATCTAGGCAAGAGCTGTCAGTCTGGTAAATATGGTTATTATTATAAAATTGAAAAGGTTAACTGTTTTGTGCAGTGCAACATAGTACTAAATAAAACTAGACTAAAACCTTTTGGATTTTTGGTCTGCCAAAACTGGACTAAAACTATCACATATCGTAATGACTAAAATGCAACTAAAACTAATAATAGTTTTCATCCTGAAAACTAAGACTAAATCTGATATGGCTGTCAAAAACAACACTGAATTGTGCACCAAGGGCACTGAAGGTCCATCCAAATGGTCAAATGTACTATTTTGATGCAGAGAATGAATTCATACCCCTGAAAACATTATGACTACATATTCTATTCATGAAATGCTTAAGGACTTTGATCTCCCTCCGATTTTGCTTGTTGTGGTTTAATATGCGGTATATCTCTAACTGAAAAGCATGAAACCTTCAGATATCATAATAGAATATCGTTTCTAAACACACAAAGTGAGAGCTATATATGGATAAAAACATTTATCTGCAGAGGCCAATGGATTGTCCTTTTAAAGGAAAAACACTGGTTTCCCATTAAAAACTGCATTTTTAAAGAAGTCTGGTCATATTTAGAATTCAAACTTCTGAAAGTAATTTAAATATGAAATTATTACATACTGTTCAATAAAAGATAAGTGTTTTAATTAAGAGTAATATTCATTTGAGTGTACTTTACTGGAAACATCCATGTTTGTCAAAGAGCACTACTGCAACCTACCGGTTTGTGACGTCACAACGCGCTATTATCCAGGTTATCTTGAAAACATTGTTCTACAAAATATTGGCTACATATTACAAATTTTTTCTCTAGCCAGACGTTTGATGGCAAATCCTCCCTCTTCAAGTTTGCAATCCAACGATGAACCCGTCCTTTGGGTATCATGAATCGGAAAGGTGAAATAACAATATTTTTTTTTTTTCACTTTTACCCAATGTATTACAACATCCAAATGCCATACCATGGGCATTGTCAATTTAACTAGCTCTCGTGAATTCCTCTCAAAATCTTAAATAATTGTTGTTGACTGCAGATGTGTCTAGTAGCTCACATTGATTTTGCTTGTAAAGTAGGGAGAATTGTTCTGGGCTTACCGCACCGTGACGTCACTGCCGGAAGATGTCAGGAGTGAGGTGTTACTATATTTGGGCAAAAATGGCCGTTCCCGGACAATTTTTTTTACTGATTAATGCTAAATTAATCGAATCACCATGAATGCATTAGTTTTAGCTATAGATAATGATCCATTGATCATTCCTTGCTGACCAGACTTTTCCTTTGATAGGAATATATCAAACGGATGTAAATCTGATTGTTATAAACATAGAAAAGGATTCAATATGATCCTGTATAATTCGAGTTCTTCCTTTTAAACTGGTTTGCACTGGTTTTCAGATTCCGTCTAACCTCTGTTGTGTGGTGCTGTAAACGTGCATCAGTCAATTATTAGGTACAGGGTAGGGCCAGGCGATAAATCAGATTTTTACTGTTTCCGCCATACACTACGATAATTGGCAACAATTTTTCAATGTTTGTAAAATAAATAAACTTAATTCTGCCATTTTTTTCCTGTGTGGCTGGTGTTACCTTCCCCTTTAAGACACTGCAGCATGTGTCTAATCACGTTATTCCAACGATCCAGCCAGAAGATTAGGCAAAGATAATGGCGGATGGGCCCAGTGAAAAGGAATCTAACACAGCTGTAAACTAAATAACATCAGTTAATCCTGAGGAGCCGAGCGAGAGCAGAGAGGAAGCTGAGCGTGCAGAGAATAAGTCTTGAGCGCCAGACAGTTGTGAGCGAGGGTGTGCGAGTTTAAAGATTCCGATTGTTCTCACTGCATGCTCAGTTCGGTGGCACCAAAATTACACTGTAGATGTTGAGCAAAATAACACAAAATGCAAAGTTTGTCTGAAAAATGTCTGGACTAACCAAAGTACCACATCCACTCTTCTTCACCTATAGCACAACCACGCTGTTGGGTTCAAAGATGTGCTAAAGGCTCCATTACCTTTGCGCAAAAATGTTTGCAATAGTGGTAACATTTTTCTCCTGTTCAATCAGACATGCTTGAATATTTAAACCTGAATGGGTACGAGGATTTAATATTATTTATCATTATTAATATTTAATGTGATTTATTGAATAAATTAATTATAAATAGATCAGTTGCATTTCCTGCACATGCCTTTATTTCTGATAGAGGAGCATTTATCATTGATCGCTATCGAGGTACAACTGCCCAATTTATTGATTAGCCCTAGTACAGTGGATTAAACACTTTAAACACAGTGTCTGCAACATTTGTGCATCAAATATAGACCAGCACCATATCTGCCTCATGAACAAGCAGATGTCACTGAGTCTGGTAAGCAGTAGTGAGCGACAGCGTTCCACATCAATTTCCTAAAGCTAGTGCTTCATTTCTCTTCTTTGATTAGAGAATATAAAATCGAGGCGCAGTTGGACAAATTGAATTTATTTTCTGTTCGAATTGCAACCTACCACTGAGTGGAGAATTCACATTTCCATCCTGGGTTGCGTTTTTTTTCTTTTCTTTAATGAATCTTAAGCAAAAAAAATGAAAGAAAAAAAAAGCAAACAAAAAAGTTGAAGCCGTTTTCCTTCATGTTTTAGACGTGTCCCTGCTCTCTAAACACCCTGATAACATTCTGAGGAGGTAGCTCAGGTTGCTGCAGTAGAGACTCTCTTCAGGACTACTGTTGAAACTGTACTATCGTGAGCTACAGGCTTGATGGCACCTGAAAGGAAATGATGATATATGCCCTTTAAACACTGTAACTAATGAACCGCGCTGCTTAAAATGGTTGCAGATTTATCATCTGTGATAGCCCCTTGCCAACAACATTTTAAGATCTTTACAGCAGAGGAACAACAGTGACTGGGACAAACAACATCTGCTGCTATGTTTTACTGTGGTAGAGCTAAATAAGCTGTAAATGTGGACAGATTGTTCAGCAGCGTCAGAATCGCTGCTAAGGGGCTGGATTGATGGATCACAGATTTGTATATATTACAGTTTTTCTCTATGGAGCATCCAGTAAAAGTTTAACTCATGATGACACGGAGATAAAATAAGGTGTTGAAGGGGAGGAACACCTGGAACACCAACTGTGGATTATCAGGGTTCTCACCAGGATTTTTATAAGCATAGCGGGGGGGTAGGGTTATTTAAATCCATATTAAGGACATCCATATTTCTTTCTTTTGTTAACTAAGGCCATTGCTTATTTGTAGGCGATGTTCATATCTCCCCTTAATATCTAAACTATTAAACTGACCCAGAGATGTCTCTGATCCACCTGCAGCCATGGTTGGGGCTACGCACCCATGTGGATTTTATTGGGTAGGAAAAAAAAGAAACACTGTCGGTCGGTTTCCGCTTCTGCACCTGGACACCTCACCCATGCTTTCAAAGCTGGCTCTTTGTCTACTGGCGGGAGTTCATGTGTTCACCTGAAGCCCTCGGGGTGAGTTCATAAAGTAGTGTGAAAGGTATGGGGTTGATGTTTTCACAGGATTTTTCTTGCGTGTAATAACTGTGCAAATAATGGCTAAAAACGTTTAAAACGCAGTAGTTATTGGGCTCACAAAAATTCCGTGTATCCGCCTACTTTTAGTGTTTGTTTTTTCTTGCATAACCAGCATTAGTGGGGAAATGTGTTGGACGGAGGCCTAGAGGAAGGAACCCAGATGTCAGTCAAAGGGCTGATAGCCATTAAAAAAAGACCAAAAGGGGCGTAGCGGGGAAAAATTTAAACATTGCGGTTGGCTACCTTGAAATACTTCAACCAGAAACCTGCAGATTTAACTGTTAAGAGGCAAAAAAAATTCCCTTAACAGAATAATAATAGGCAGATAAAAGTGGTAACTTTCATATTTAAATGTACGGTAACATTAAATATAAACCAGCCACATTGAAGGAGCCACTGATTTATAAATCAAATGGATAAAAAAAGTTAAATGTGAATCTGTGATAAGTTGTTACCTGCTTCTCCCCTCAGAGCTTTCTCCACAGCTACACCCCTCTCCTCCAGCTGTCTCTGCTTCTCCTCCACCTGCTCCAGCTGCCTCTGGATGATCTGAGCAGACATATCAAGGATGAATGTCTCAAAAAGGCATCCTAAATGTTCTATATACATACAATTGTCTCACATATTCTATAAATCTCCATTTTACAACGTGTTCTGATAGAAACACACAGCAGCACATCTCAATACGGCTGCAGGGGGGGTGACATGCAATATGGCCCCTCCCTGACCCCCATAAGCATCGAGCTGCTTTCAGTGGCTCACATTAAACCAGGGATGATCTTTATGAATGGGTCATAAGGCAGTGGGGTGTGTTAAAAAGCCTTCAGAGGCTCAAATATCCACACTAGCTGGAAGATGGAAATTTAAATCTTTATCTCTAATACATATTTTAAACACTTTCTGATGGGGTGCACTGTGTGTTCCGATTGGAGAAGAAATTTACTAGTGACCCATAAAAGGTCTGGTATTATATAAGGCTGCATCTTAATAAATTAGAAAATTAAATTTATACACCAAGTTATGTAACTCAAGTGTTTATTTTGATTGTTTTGATAAGTCTAGCTGACACCTAAAAATTCAAAATGTATTTAAGTTTCATAACAACTGAGGAAGAATGCTGACTGGAGTATTCACTAACACCATACACCAGCGATGGGGACTCGAGTTTGTGACTCGTACTCGAGTCGCACTTAAGTCGCATA